GTGGGTCTGTCTCTCCTGCCGCAGCGGCAGGGCAGGCTGGGCTTGTCTAGGAAGGTGGGTAGCCGCAGGGTCTACGTTGGCATCTGCGGTGAGGCTGGAGCAAGATCTCCTCGGTCGGGGGCAGGTAGAGCACGTGTGTGTCCCCTTGACAGTGCCACCAGCCACCAGCACACCTGGCCTCCCGGAAGCCTTGCGAAGGGTGTGGCATGGGCTGCGTGACACGGGTGGGACTCCTTCCCTGGTGTCGGGGAGGCACGCTCAGCAGCGTTGGGTCCTGCTGGGGCAGGGCGAGGGGGAGTAAGCATGAAGTGCAGGTGTACAGGCATGTGTGCTTCACTTGGGCTCTGAGACGGGCGTCAAGGTCAGGCAGGGCGCCTGGCACTTGGGACAACCTCCGAGAGCGCGGCCCGGGCAGGACGTGGCAGGAGGGTTGGGGGCCCGGCAGCAGGCTGCTGTGCTGCCGAGGCAGGCCGGGCACCTAGGAGCCATGCCTACAGACCGGGCACAGGGGTGCAGCCTCGGGCGGGCGTGTGCGGCCGGCCATCTTAGGCCACAGCCCTGACTTTGGAGACACGGAAACCCTGGTGCTCAGGGAAGTGGAGGAAGTGCCCCTGCCACCTCTCCCACGGGGAAACTCCGCAGCCGCGTCTCAGTTCAGGAGAGTCAGACCTCCCCGCCAGTGGGTCGGCTGAGGTTTTCCACAGCAGCCATCCAAGGCGGGGGTGACGCCACACTCCTTCCGGGAGCCAAGAGTGCTGGGCGGGGGCGGCTGCTCTGCAGCCCCCGGCACCCCACCACGTTTCCCGAAGGCGAAGTCGCGGAGACCGGTGCAGAGCGCTGTGCCTGTGGAGGGTGCTGCCGTCCACACTGTCAGTGGTCTGGGGGCGGCCCTCAGGTGGTCCCCCACAGCCCACCACAGGTCTGTCACCTCCCCTTTCTGCACCAGACTCTGGCAGGACCAGAGTGAGACACCACTCACCAGGACGGCCAGGCAGTGGACTTCTGTGGGGTGGGAGCAGCCTGGGCCCCAGAGAAAAGGACAGGTCCCATCAGCCGTGCCCTGCGGGTAGGGCCACTAGCACGCTCATCGACACCTTCCCGGACGCCGTCTGTTCCTGCAGGCCCTACTGCACGAGGTTGGTGGCCGGGTCCCAGGGGTGCGTGTGGAAAGTCCTGCAGAGGGAGCCTGTGGCCCCTGCAGCAGCACCCTCCGGCACTGTGCGCACCCCTCGTAGAAGGGGGAACTGAAGTTTGTACAATTTGAGCAGCTCGAGGGCCTAAGGTCCCCAAGAGTCCTTAAGAGCTGGTCCGGGGTGTGGCCTGGCCCCAGGACTGGGCAGTCTGAGCGGCAGGAGGGCGCGAGTCCCCCAGGTTCGAGCCCGTGAGGGCGCCCGGTGCTGAGGTGTCCTGGAGTCTGCTCTCTGCCCCTGCCTGAGCAGAGCCCTCGTTCGCCCTCTGCCCGGGGAGGTTCAGGGACCTGCAGGAAGAGGTGCCGCTATCGCCATGAGGGAGCTGGCTCGGACGGGCACCTGGCCCACGTCTTCCGGCACACCGCCACGGAGCTGTTCCATGAGGACATCCAGGACCTGGCCTTCCGGGCCTGGAGGTACGAGTGCAGCCGAGGCGCATGCACAGGCTGGTGGCTCTGCCGGTTGGCACTGGGTCCACTGCCCAGGCCACCTGTGTGTGTGCACATGCGCTTGGGGCGTGCTCCCTGCTGGCACTCAGGCTCAGTGGGGGCGCAGGACGGACCCCCGTTCACCTTCCGGGAACAAACACTTCCAGGAGGTCACCCTGGAGAGGAGCAGGGAGGTCCTGCTGCGCTTCGCCGCAGCATATGGCTTCCGGAACATTCAGAACGTCACTCTGAAGCTCAGGAAGGGCACGTCCCCATACCACTTTGTGGAAGTCCTCGTGTGTCCGGGAGGTGAGGTGCTCACCCGAGGCCAGGGGTGCCCCGTGGGTACATGGGGTCGGTGCCTGCTTGGCAGCCACCCTGGACACCAGCCCTCAGCTCTGCAGGCCTGAGGGTGCCCGCCAGCCCCGCCTGTCCCGCCGGCGCGTGTGACAGGGGTGGCAGTCAGGCTGCCTGCGCCTGGCCCTACGTGTGCCAGTGAGAGTAGCAGATGGCGTCTGGAGTGGAGGGCACACCTGGGACCTGGGGGTCGTGCCAGGAGGGAGGAGGCCCATCCCGCCCCTGCCATCGAGTGCTGGGAGAGGCTGTGGGGGCCATGGAGGCAGGGGGCTGGGCCTGGGGGGTACAGCGAGAGGGGGCAGGAGTCGGGGTGGGATGGGTGGGGTCTCCGACGGTCCTGCTGGTGGAGGAGGGAGGGGAGCCCTGAGCCGTGGTAGGCCAGCTGCACCCTGGGTGGGGACCCAGAATGTGCCGCTCAGGGTGTGGGCCGTTGGCGAGACAGGAGACGCCGGCCTGGGTCCAGCTCATGGAGAGGCCCGCTGAACAAGAGGGCCGGGCAGGGCGTGCAGGGCACAGGTGGAGGGGAGCACCTCAGAGAACACTGACGAGACACAGCAGGGGCACGGAGTGAGCACACCACCTGCCTCAGCACCCAGTGGCCCACAGCAGGCCTTTGGGGACAGGGGGGCTGCTGTGCTTCCTGCGTCCGGGCAGCCTGAGGACAGAAGCTCCTGGAAGGCTCCTGGGAAAGCAGAGGACGAGAGCCCGCCTGCCCACCGCCCATCTGCCCCCTGCCCACCACGCACCTGCCCCTGCCCGCCGCCCACCTGCCCCTGCCCACTGCCCATCTGCCCACTCTACCCCTGCCCCTGCCAGGAGCTGCCCAGGGATTGGCAAGGTGAAGGCGTTGCAGAGTGGAGATGCCTCTTCTGAGTGCCTTTATCCTGTTAACCAAGAGGAAGCCCCGAGCCATCAGGTGGTGGTGGAGGCGCTGGACTCTCACATGGCCGACCCCCACTTGAGTCCCTAACCTGGCGGCTTGCTTTCTCACTTTGCCATTCACCCGGTCTCTTCTTCTCTGGCGAGCACGTGTGCCCTATAGCAAATTTTAAAAAAATAGTAAATTCCTTGGAAAAAAAAAGAAAGAGGAAGCCCCAGCACACACAAGGCTAGGTTTTTTTGTTTGTTTGTTTGTTTTTTTAAGAATTTAATCATGGGGACCAGCAGGTGGCGTGGTGTTTAAGGCGCTGGACACTCCCACATGGCCGATCAGGGTTCAAGTCCTGAATCTGGTGGCTTGCTTTCTCACTTCCTCTCTCTCTCTCATTCTCACCCTCTGTCTTTCTCTGCTCAAAACTAAAAAATAAATGAATGAATAAATAAAATAAATAATTACTTTACAAAAAAGAATTTAATCATCATCATTCTTTTCTTTCTTTTTTTTTTTTTTTTTGAGAGGTTTTGCTATAGGGCGCGTGCACTCACCAGAAAGACAGAGAGAGACAGAAAGCAAGAAATCACCCCCCAGGGGGGATGGCCATGCCACAATCCTTTCTCTTCCATTCTCCTCTCGGGATCTTGGGCACGCATGCACACGTGCCCGGCATGAGTTTAAGCCGCCAGGTCTGAGACTTGAACTGTGGCTAACTACATGGGAGTCCAGCGACATAGCCACTACACCAACTGCTGGTCCCCATCATTATTATTTTCTAATTTGCTATAGGATGTGTGCTCACCCAAGAGAGACAGAGAGGGGAGGTGAGAAAGCAAGCTGCCAGATCTGGGATTCAAACCGTGGCCACATGGGAGCCCAGTGCCTTCACCACCATGCTGGCCCCACGAGGCAGGTTTTAAATCCCCGGGGGAGGCAGCACCCCGGTGGTTGTCCATGCCGTGTCACTGGGGCACGTGTGCCTGTGTGTGCAGACCTTGGAGCACGAACCCAGACCCTTCCGCATGGCTTCGGCTTGCAGCCTGTTGCTCAGTGCCGCATCACACAGCCAGCCACAGGAGGCACTGTGACACGTGGCCTACACCATCTAGGGGGCGAGGAGGGGGACGGACAGGCAGCCTGTTGGAGGGCCCAGCACCCGAAGACCAGCATGCTACACAGACGTGAGGGCCAGAGACCAGGCTGGCACGACAGGACTGCCACGTGCTGAAAGGCCGGAGCTCACTGAGGTTCCGGGGACCATCCCGAGTCAGAGATGCTGAGAGGCGGGCACAGGGCCAGTCGGGGGAGATGCGTGTCCACAGCCCGACTCCGAGATGCCACTGCAGCCTTCCTCCCATTTCCCTTTGTCCCGAGCCGCCTCCCTTACAGCGGGCCGTCCGGGCGGAGGCACGAGCTCGCCCCTGCTTGTTTTCCAGGGTCCTTGAACGGCAGAGGCCAAGCCCAGCCAAAGGACGGCCATGCCGACCAGACCTTGCTGCGGCAGATGGAGGGCATCTACTCCGCCATCCCCATGCGGCCGCCCGAGAGTAGCACGCATGTGCAAGAGCTGTACCAGGAGTGGCTGCAGGGGGCCGACACCCCCAGGGCCCAGGCGGGGCGGCGTGCCCCGTCCCAGGGCCTGGAGCGCCGCGCACACCCTCTGGACATCAAGTGGTGAAAGCCGGCCAAGCTGGGCTGAAGCGTGCAAGGCTGAGGGCGAGCACCGGGCGTTCCGGGCTCTCTGCCCCCTGGCTGGAGCCCCTGGTGCAGGTCCACATGGTGCTGCTTCCGTCACGGGGTGCGGGGAGGTCTTGGCCAATACCAGCACGGCCCCTCCGAGCACCTGTCACCCTCACATGATGAAAGCCCCTGGAGAAAGAGAGCAGAGACAGACTGCTGCCTCCCATCCAAAAAAGTCCAAAAAGTGCCTTGTGAAGCACCGAGACCCCCAAGGCTCTGGGTCCTGTGAGAAGGGGGGCGCTCCCAGCCTCCCGCCTGGTAGCCCTCCACCTTGCAAGTGCTCGCCTGGCCATGAATACACCACCAGCCCTCCCGTCGGGAGACGTGTGTGACCTGGCCAGCACTCTGGGGGGTGGGGAGCAGAGGGGGACCCGGGACTGCCGTGGCCCCCACCCCTAGCCCTTCCGTCGCCTCGGTCGAGGCTGTCTTCTCACACGAGCGGGACTTGTTACCGCTGCCCACGAAGCCCAGTGTGCACGCAGGGTGATGCTGCCACCCCGTGCCCTGTGCTGGTGTGAGTGCGCTTCAGGGAGGAGACGGAGCCCATGCGCAGGGCTAGCAGCCCCCACCCCTAGCCCTTCCGTCGCCTCGGTCGAGGCTGTCTTCTCACACGAGCGGGACTTGTTACCGCTGCCCACGAAGCCCAGTGTGCACGCAGGGTGATGCTGCCACCCCGTGCCCTGTGCTGGTGTGAGTGCGCTTCAGGGAGGAGACGGAGCCCATGCGCAGGGCTACCAGCCACTGCGGCCACGGGCCTGCACCACACACCGATGTCCCTCTCGGCATGCAGCGGCCCCACGAGCCAGGGCGCCCCTGTGCACTCGGGCCTCATGGGCGGTGCAAATGCAGCCCCTCAGGGTGTGGAGCCCAGCCCAGCAGGCAGCCTCCACATCGCCGTGTTGTGGCCCATGTCACGTTATGTGCGTGTTTTCTTTCTGTCTGCGCATACTCGTGGCCTCCCCTGAAATGACTGTGGATAAGCAGGTGACGGGTGTCTCAGCATGGAGCTGACTGAGGCAGGGCTATGGCACGGCGAGGGCCATCCCTTCCCCCAGGCCTGACCATCTGGCATGGGTCCAGGAGAGTTATGCCTGTCGCCTCCAGAAGGTGCAGGGACCTGTGTGGAGGGCTGCCCCCTCTGGCCCAGGGAGCACTCGGCCCGGAGCAGCACTGCCCAGCCTGCTCCAGGCCCTGCCACGAGGCACTGGGGTGGGGAGGGAGGGAGACCTGGTTGACCCGAGACGTCCCGGGTCTTGTGGCCGTCCGTGAGCTGTGCCTGCTTCCTTCCTTACAACCCGAACAGCACGAGCAGGGTCCGCCGCGGCGACCTCAGCACTGGCCCGGCCTGGCAGGCCCTGGAGGGAGGGAGGACAGGGAGCTGGCAGGCGCACGGCCGAGTGAGGCGTTGTGTGCGGGGCACTGGCCATCCTCACAGGCGGGCTTCAGGGTGCCGTATTCACCTGGCGCGTGCTCAGGCAGGGATGGGGACGACTCCACGCCGCACTGCAGGTGAGGTTGGGCTCGCACACTGCTGTCAGTCGGCTGGTATGATGCTGGCCAGGGGTGGGCCCAGGGAAGCTCCCAGGGCTGTGCCAACTTCAAGGGTGCCCCACGGCCCCACCTGCCGCCCTGACCCCCACGTCGAGTCTAGGCTAGGTGCGTCGACGTTTGTCTCTGTCCCCGCCCACACCGCGCTGGCTTTGGGTCTGGCACGTCCCAACAGGCTCACCGTCTGCCTACAGCACAGACCTGCAGGCTGAGCGCCTCCACTCAGGGGTGTGCTTGCCACGTGAGGGCGCTGTGCACTTTAGGGGAGAAGGTGCCAGAGGTGAAGTGCCGTTCTTTGGTGAGGGACAGGCCCTCCGCGAGGTCTTGCCATGCTGGGGGCTGAGCTCGGGCCTCCCTCCGGGCTGGAGTTTCTCACGTTTGTGTTTAGCTCTTGGTGAGGAGCGCACGCAGAGAGTGGGCAGTCACCCTGGGAGGGAGAGCCACGCCGCAGACCCTCCGTTCTCGGAGTTAGGGGCACATTGCCGGGTCCAGAGCTCAAACCGCAGTCAGCCATTTGGAGCCAGCGCCCTGACCTCTGTCAGCTGCTAGCCAAGTCTGAAGTTTTTTATTTTTATTTTTTTCAAATTGCTGGAGGGTACGCGTGCACACCAGAGAGAGGAAAGAACCCCCCAGCGAGGTGTGGTCACAGCACAGACCCTTCTCCATGTCACTGCCCCGTCGGGATTCAGGGCTTGTGTGTACACATGTGGAGGAGCCATGGCAGACCACAGGTCAGCCACGTGGGACTGCCCAAAGCAGCATGCTGGGGTGGCCCTGGGAAGGCAGCTTTCACGAGGCAGAGGAGCTGGTGAGAAGAGCAGGCTGTGCTGCGGTTGGGTGCAGCCTGGCAGCCCTGCCCGAGACAGTTCCCCACATGGGACAGGCCCTCCTACGGCAGAGATCCGCACAGGTGCCAGTGGGCAGGAACCGGTGGGGCGGGTGCCCTCCACTGCGTTTGCGCTGGGAGCTGCAGGCCGGCAAGTCGGCTTGTGTCTCGGCCTTACAGCGGATC